AGGGAGGCCACGGTCCATCTTGACCGTCGAGGGCAAGGATCCGTCGGTGCCGCAGGAGCGCCTTGAAATTCATGGCCGCTAGGAGCAACTACCCGTTCTCCTGGCTGGCTCTTGCGCTGCTCCTGTCACCACGGCATCCTTCCCTGTTCCCCCCCCGAGGAGTATTAGACTCTAAAAAACGGGGAAGCTAGGAAAGTAGCTCTGATACCAAGTGTTATGAGTTTTACTAGACAGAGTGCGCGGAAGACTTTATAAAAAGGATGTCGAATACAGAATGGCGAGAATGATAAAGAAGCAAGCATTTATAGGGTCGAAACCGTGCTAGGCGAGGACCTCGGGACGTGGATGGGTTGGAAGTGTCGCGATTGGTGCGAAGCGACTCGTCGGTGGTTCGGTCCGAAGTGTAGGCCGAACCTCGAAACTGACGCGAAGTGCTCGGGATTGTCCTCGCTAGGAACAGCCTCTACAGTAATGAATTCATATTATTGTGCTTCCTTAGTTCGTCGAGCTCGGGCTATGTCAGTCTGAACTGGCGCTGTACAGTTGGCTGTGCCCCCGGTTGTAACTCGATCCTATGGTCATGCGCCCGCTGAGATGGCAGCCCTTGCGGTAAGTCGTCTAGAAAAATCTCCGGGTACCGTTTCAACAGTTCATGAAGTTCGGGCGGTACTGCTGCCAACAGCTTTGAAAAACGCTCGGCTGCTCCTCTTCTCCTAGTAATGCTATATCCACTGCGTACACGTCAGCTCCAGCGGCGACAACCCGTTTCATCGTAATGGCGTTGACGTGGACCGTTGAAGACTCGGGTGACTGCCAGCGAGGTAGCTTGACCCAGTTACCACTACTTCGCACGGTGCAGCTACCCGTCGTCCAGTCAATTTGTGGGTTATACCGTCGCACCCAATCACGTCCCAATAAAATATCGTGCCCATCCAGTGTCGTCGCGAGCATTTCCTGGGTAAATCTGAAGTTTCCCCCGTAGCGGACTTTTACTCGCTCTACCTTTTCCCGTATGGCCTGTGGTGTGCCGTCGACTAAGCGTGCGTCTATCTAAGGCAAGCAACGGTTAAGTGTTAGCTGTAGTTTTCGTGCGGTTGCGGTATTAACTAAATTGTGGCTTGCTCCTCCGCTGATAAAAACCTTCACTGCTGCTCCCTGTATTTTCTCGTGGATCAGTACTGGGAAATCCGTCGCTGTACCCTCCTTATTCATCCGAGCCCGATCGATGGCGTGAATTGGTACTGTGACTCGGTGAGGGTCGGTGCGGTTGGGCGAGCAGGCAGTCTCGTCAGTAGTTGGCCCAACTTCTACTGACTGCTGGCGTTTCCCAGCCTCTGAGACTCCCTCCCTTGCTCTGCTCCGCGGCGCCTTAGCTCCTCTGGGCATTCGCTCTTGCGATGGCCCAGCCTGTTGCAAGCAAAGCAGCGCCCCTTAAACGGTGCGGCAGCTGCATTTGTTGCAACAGTGTGTAGAGTGGCGTGCTCGGTCGGTCCTGGAGGGCGATGTCCGTAGTAGGACCCTGGTCTCGGTCGGCGTAGGATGTCAATTTTCTCGGCGAGCGCGAGAATCTCGTTGAAGTTTGAGAGTCCGCACAGCATGATTTCGTGCGAGATATCCGGCTTCAGCCCTCCGACATAATGGTCCACCCGCTCCGTTTCGTGCATCTAGCCGACCTGCTCGCAAAGTGCGAGAAAAACGTTCATGTAATCTTGAACCGATCCGAGCTGCCGCCAAGTGCGCAATCTCTGACGCGCCGAAATGGAAGCCGCAATCGGCTCGAAGCGCGCCCGAAGCCTTGCGCACCATGCATCCCACGTGCTGTATTGGGCGGTTTTGCAGAATGAACTCCAGGTGACAGCTGGTCCCGTGGGCCCTTCCTCTTGCGACGATGGCTCGTAGGCGCGTGGCGACGTCACGATGACTCGCCACCAGTCCATGGCGGGGCCCCTTAACAGCGAAACTGCATACCGAATCTTCGCTGCGTTCGACTCGACGTAGTTCGCGTCGAAGAAGACGTTCATCGTGAAGACCCACGATTGAACCGTCGGACCTCCACGTTGGCTTGGGTCGAAGCAGGGCGCGCATTGCGGCTTGAGCGGCATTGGTGCCATAATGGCCTGTTCGCCACTTGTCGCCGCGAATTCCACGTGCCGACGGGCTTCACGAGGCTCCCGCGGGCTTGGTGCGACCCTGCTTCCTCCCATGCCAGGCATCGGCTGGGCGGCGTCATCACTAGCTGCGCCTGAGCGTTGTCCCATGCTGTCGTGTTGTGTTGGTGTGTCGGACGAAATGATGATTGGCTCGTCCGATTGTGCAGATGCATTTGTCGGTGCGTGTGATGGCGCTGGAATGTTCATCGTAGATTGTTGACGGGCGGAGTCACGTTCCGCCGTGAGCGTCGCGATTTCGAGCGCCGAATCTTCAAGTTGGCGCACCAGACGATCAAGGTGCTCCTGCGTCAATGTGGCGAGCGTGAAATCGGCCATGGCGGGGGTGTCGGGCGAGCTCCGCGAGAGCCTCGGTCGTGGCCATGCGTGCTTACGAGAGAGCACTACGAGCGGCGGTGCTGTATCGCTAAGAGACGACTACCCCCCCCCCCAAAAATTGAGATAGTGGGGAAGCGAAGGTGTGGGTGCGGTCCGAGAGGAGATCGTAGGCTCTGAATACCAAGTGTTACGAGTGCAATTGAGTGAACGAACGAGAATTGCACTATCGAAGCAAGAGTACAATGAGCGAAGGCATGAGCGAAGAATATATAGCGAAACTACAGTGGTAACGGTAATGGACTGTGGTTGTCGCGCGACGGGCTTGGGACTGGGGTTGGGAAAGTGTCGAAGCGGAGGCCCGGAGCGCGGGTTACCCGCCGAGCCGTGAGGTCGGGGTGTGATGTGCGAAAGTGGCGGGCTGATTGTCGATGCGAGGATCGCGAGTGGTAGCGGTGCTGACTGTGGTGCTAAAGTGATGTACACGTTGAGCAGGGATGCGAAGTAAGGAAAAGGGATTTTCCTTACATCAACAAAGGCCTTGTTCGGCCTTGTACACCCTCTTTCCCGCCGTTGTCGATTTGTTTATTTAGAAGTCAAGATGGGAAAAGCACGGTAAACGGTGGTTGGATTACGTTTCGGTATGGTTCAATAAGGCAAATCAAAGATAACAAGGTTTTCCATGTGTTCGACACAGTTTAGTGTAGCGAGAAATAGGGTGTACCTCATGTACCTCACCGACATACAAATGTTCTCGTTTAGAGTCCCCGTGAAAAACACGCGCGCTGCGGGCCTTTGTGGAAAACTCACAAACCCAGGGCAAAAGGGAACTTATAGTCCCGTAAAAGGAAAATTACATGAAGAATGCTTTTGCTTCGCTACTAGTCTTTTTTTCTGGTCACATACGTACATTCGGACCACGCTGTTTTCAACTTCTCTTCGCACAGTTCGCCGCGTTAATCAATGTCGCAGGACAAACATGCAGAAACATACAAATTCAGTTATGTCTAAGGCCAAAATGAAAGAGCATTTTTAGTTTTACCCTGTAAGCGGGATTAATGAGATGGCATTATCGAGCTCGCGGGTAACGGCACGACAGGATTTAGACACAAGCGCGGTCAAGATCGTGTCAGAACATATAGCTTATGCTTTTCTGTAGGCTATAGTGGGGTATCCCATAGGGGGTGCAACCCAATTAGGGTTGGTACTTGTACTCACTCATTTCATAGTTCATTCATTCGTGTTCTTTACTTTCACATGGTATCAGAGCAGGTCCCCTCCTAGGGACTGTTCCTTGGGCCCACCGGAGCGCGCCTCGAGTCGCGCTTTCTCCTTTCTTTTTTTTTTTTAGCGACCCGCTGTGTCGCCCCTAGCGGCCCGTCGCGCCGCCCCTGCTGTCGCGTCGAGCCGCTCTAGCGGCGTGACGCGCCGCCCTTGCAGCGGCCGGTCGCGCCGCCCTTCCTCGCGGCCCCGCCGCCCCATCGCGCGGCCCCGCCGCGCCTTCCTTGCGGCTCAGCCGCCCTGTCGAGCGGCCCCGCCGCCCCTTTTAGCGGCCCCGCCGCCCTTCCTCGCGGCCCCGCCGCCCCGTTGAGCGGCCCCGCCGCCCTTCCTCGCGGCCCCGCTGCTCCGTCGCGCGGCCCTACAGCCGCCCTACCTGCGGCCCACCCGCCGCCCTACCTGCGGCCCGCAAGCCGCCCTACCTGCGGCCCTACCGCCGCCCTACCTGCGGCCCACCCGCCGCCCTACCTGCGGCCGACCCGCCGCCCTACCTGCGGCCGACCCGCCGCCCTACCTGCAGCCCTACCGCCGCCCTACCTGCGGCCCATCCGCCGCCCTACCTGCGGCCCGCCCGCTGCCCTACCTGCGGCCGACCCGCCGCCCTACCTACGGCCCTACCGCCGCCCCACATGCGGCCCTCCGCCGCCCTACCTGCGGCCCACCCGCCGCCCTACCTGCGGCCCACCCGCCGCCCTACCTGCGGCCCTACCGCCGCCCTACCTTCGGCCCTCCGCCGCCCTACCTGCGGCCCACCCGCCGCCCTACCTGCGGCCGACCCGCCGCCCTACCTGCGGCCCTACCGCTGCCCTACCTGCGGCCCTCCGCCGCCCTACCTGCGGCCCACCCGTCGCCCTACCTGCGGCCCACCCGCCGCCCTACCTTCGCGGCCCAGCCGCCCTACCTACGCGGCCCAGCAGCAGCCGAGCCGCCCCGCCGCAGCCGAGCCACCCAGCATCAGCCGAGCCGCCCAGCAGCAGCCGAGCCGCCCAGCAGCAGCCGAGCCGCCCGGGAGCAGTCGAGCCGCCCAGGAGCCGCCGAGCCGCCCAGCAGCAGCCGAGCCGCCCAGGAGCCGCCGAGCCGCCCAGCTGCAGCCGAGCCGCCCAGCAGCAGCCACGCTGCCCGGGAGCCGCCGAGCCGCCCTGCTACCGGGCCGCCCGACCTGCCCTGTCTGGTGAGCACGGCACTGCCCCACTGCTACTGCGTGCCCTTCCCCACTGCTTGCACTGCTAGTCTGTCGTCATGGCTACCTCCAGTGTCCTCGCTTTTGACGCTGAGGGTCGAGCCATTGACTTTGAGGTCTGGGTCGACGACCTGCAGTTGTTTTCACAGTGCGATAGGGCGGACGGTCTTTCTCTCTTTGACCTCACCTCTGGCGCCTCTCCTGCTCCTGCTGCTGATGCTGACCCCATTGTTCGCTCTCAGTGGGCCACCCGCGATGCTGCTGCACGTCTTGCTGTGCGTCGCCACTTGCCCACCACTGAGCGCGCGCACTTTAGTCAGTACAAGAGTGCTCAGACCTTGTACGACGCTGTCGCTGCGCGCTATTCTTCCCCTGCCACTGCTGCACTGAGCCGTCTCATGCTACCGTACCTCTTTCCTGATCTCACTGCCTTTCCCACTGTCGCTGACCTCATTACGCACCTCCGCACTAGTGACACTCGCTACCGCGCTGCCCTTCCTGCTGAGTTCTACGCCAAGAACCCCCCCCCCCCATGTACATCGCTCTCTATTACATAGTCACTCGCCTCCCTGACTCCCTTCGCGTAGTCAGGGACCACTTCCTCTCAGTCTGTTCCACCACCCTCACTGTCGACCTCCTCCAGAAGGCCCTCCTAGCGGCGGAGAAGAGTATAGTCGCTGTAGGAGCCTCTCGTGGTGACCCGCGCACCCCCATCTTTGAGGGGTGTTCTCCTTCCCCCCTGCTGCCCTCTGTTGCCTTTGCTGCTGCTGCCGACCTGCTTGGTCTTGAGTCGGTCGGCGCGCCGTCTGCCCCTAGCGGGAGACGCCGCCCTGGCAAGGGCAAGAGGGGCAAGGGCGCGGGTGGAGCTGGCGGGGGCGGTGGAGGTGGCGGTGGAGGCGGCGGAGGGAGTGGGGGTGGCAGTGGGAGTGGTGACGGGAGTGGTGGCGGTAGCAGCGGCAGTGGCGGCGGAGGTGGTGGCGGTGGAGGCGGTGGGAGCGGAGGCGGTAGCAGTGGCGGAGGTGGAGGCGGTGGTGGCGGAGGAGGTGGAGCTGGTCAAGGTAGTGCCCCGCAGAGGAGCGGCTCTGGTGGTGGTCCGCAGCAGCAGCAGCGTGCTTGGGACGTCCCCACGCCTCAGCAGCTCCGTGAGTGGTACACGCAGAGTCAGCGTGGTGGAGGCTTTGGCCCGTGCACCTACGTTCTTCGCAGCGGCGACCGCGCGGGTGAGCAGTGTGGGGGTGCCCACTCCACCAGGCGCTGATTGGCCGCCTGACGGACGCTTGGCGTCAGCAGTTCCCTGACGCTTCTGAGATCCCCCGCTGGGGAGACCTTTCTAGAGCTGGTGTAGCGATCTTTGAGCTCGACTTTGATGCTATCCTTGCTGCCATGTATGCTGTGTCTATTAGTGATGAGGGTGACTGTTACCGGTGTTTCCCGCCCGACCCGGGCATTGGTACGGCTGCGCTAGGTGCGTGTGACACTGCTGCGCTCTCAGGTGCTGGTGAGGCTGCGCTCTCAGGTACTGGTGAGGCTGCGCTCTCAGGTACTGGTGAGGCTGCGCTCTCAGGTACTGGTGAGGCTGCGCTCTCAGGTACCACGCCGGCTTCGACCTCCCTCACCTTTACACTTGACTCTGGGGCTTCTCGCTCCTTCTTTCGGGACCGCACCACACTCACGCCGCTTGGCCGGCCGGTTGCGGTCTCCCTGGCTGACCCCTCTGGGGGTCCTGTCCTCTCTCACTTCTCCACTGTCCTACCGTGTCCAGCTGCCCCCTCGGGCGCCCTGTCTGGTCTGTACCTCCCCTCGTTCTCGACGAACTTGGTGAGTGGTGCTGCCCTACAGGATGCGGGGGCTCACCAGTTTACTCCTGCGAGTAAGCGGGTGACCCACTGCACGGACGCGCGCACAGGCCGGCACCTGGCCACGTTCTCCCGTCGGCCGGGGTCGAGCCTCTACACCCTGACCTCTGGGTCTCCTCCTGTCCCTGTGTCTGGCCAGGTAGCTGCGTCCAAGTCTGGTCCTGAGTTTGCCCCCTGCTCGTGTCGCCTCCTGTCTCACGAGACTCTCCTGTGGCACCACCGTCTTGGCCACCCCTCCTTGCCCAATCTCAGGGACATGGCTTCCCGTGTCCTTGTCTCTGGTCTTCCCCGGTCTCTCCCTCCCCTTCCTTCGGGGCCAGGACCTTCCTGTGTCCCTTGTGTCGAGGGGCGCCTCCGGGCTGCCCCCCACTCCTCACAGTTTCCTCCGACAGAGGCTCCTCTGCAGACGCTTCACATGGACGTGTGGGGCCCGGCCCGCGTCCGTGGACAGGGTCACGAGCGCCACTTCCTGCTGGTGGTTGACGACTACTCGCGTTTCACCACAGTCTTCCCCTTGCGCAGCAAGGGTGATGTCACTGAGGTGTTGATCGACTGGATCCGCGCAGCTCATCTCCAGCTCAGGAGGAGCTTCGGCTCGGACTTTCCTGTTATGCGTCTGCACTCTGACCGAGGCGGAGAGTTTTCCTCTGGCCTTCTGCGAGCCTACTGTCGTGCACAGGGCATCCGCCAGACCTTTACGCTTCCGGACTCTCCACAACAAAATGGGATTGCTGAGCGCCGCATTGGCATGGTCATGGACGTCGCTCGTACGTCCATGATGCATGCGGCTGCCCCCCATTTTCTGTGGCTGTTTGCGGTACGGTACGCGGCGCATCAGATCAACCTTCACCCCGGGGTTTCCCGGCCGGGGAAGGTCCGTACCTCCCCGGCCCTCCTGTGGACTGGGAAGGTCGGCGATGCGTCTGCGTTCCGTGTTTGGGGATCTCGGGCGTTTGTCCGCGACTTGTCTGCGGACAAGCTGTCCCCCCGTGCTGCTCCCTGTGTCTTCCTTGGCTTCCCCCCTGACGCTCCAGGGTGGCAGTTCTACCACCCCTCCTCTCGTCGTGTTCTGTCCTCCCAGGACCTCACGTTCGACGAGTCAGTCCCCTTCTACCGTCTCTTCCCCTACCGCACTCCTTCCCTCCCCCCGCCACCGGACTTCCTTGTGCCAGGTCCCCCCCCGATAGACCCCCTCCCCCCTCAGGTTCCTGCCCCTTCAGGTGTGTCCCATGTAGACGCCGTCGAGCCGGTCGAGGTTGATGGTGACTCTGGTCCTGCTGCGGGTGCTGAGCCTGGGGGTGCTGACTCTGGGGGTGCTGTGCGTGGGGGTGACGAGCCTGGAGGTGCTGAGCCTGGGGGTGCTGTGCGCGTGGGTGCTGAGCCTGGGGGTGACGAGCCTGAGGTTGCTGAGTCTGGGGGTGCTGCGCTAGAGGGTGTCGAGCCTGGAGGTGCTGCGTATGGAGCTGTTGAGCCTGGAGGTGCGGAGCCTGCGGTTGCTGGACCTCCCCTTGTGGCGTCTAGCGGTGCTGGGCCTGGAGGTTCTCCGGGTGCTCCGTCTTGGCGGGAGCCCCTCTCTCCACAGGAGCTGCGCGAGTGGTTTGCTCGCCGCTGGAGGCGTACTGCTGGAGCTGGAGCTTCTTCGGCCGCTCAGGGTGCTGGTGCTGCTGGTCCTGGAGCTGCTGGGCCTTCGGGTCTTACTGAAGCTGGAGCTGCTGAGGGTGTTGGTGCTGAGAATGCTGCTGTCTTCCTTGGCGGTGGTCCTGCTGCTGGTGCGACTGGAGGTCCTGCCACTGGAGGTGCTGTTGGCGCTGGAGCTGCCGCTGAGGGTGCTGGTACTGTCCCTGCTGGGCCTGGAGTCCCCGCGCGGCCTCGGCCGTACTTCGTTCCGCTCCTGCAGCAGGTTCTTGGTCTTCCTCCTTCTGTCGGGTGTCCGCCGTCTGTCCGGTCACAGTCACTGTTAGAGCCGGCCTCCCCACTGCCTGCTCCCTCTCCTTACACTGGTCCTACTGGAGGTCTCGCTGAGCGTCGTGAGCCTGCGTCTCGTCCCGCGTCACCTGTTCGTGCTGCTCGCACTAGTGGTGCGGTTTGCGTGAGCGTCCTCCTCCTGTCCCTGGCACGCACCGAATGTCTCTGCGTCCGTCCACTGCTCCTCTGCGTGCCCCTTTGCCTTCTCCTCCTGCGTCCTCTCTTCCTGCGCTTTCCGACCCGGAGTCGGACTCTCTTCGTGCTGCCAGTCCTACTGTCACGCGTCTTCTTGCTACTGTTGTCACTGACCCCTCTTTTGAGTCCACTGCTGCGTCTTCTCTTGTCGCTGAGCTCGTCGACTTTGCTGCTCGCTGTCGTCTAGACTACGCTGCTAGTCTTGTTGCTGAGTCTGCGTCTGTCTGTCCTCCGTCCGTCGGGGGTGAGTGTGCTCTTGGCACGGACGTCCTTGAGGACAGGCAGGAGGAGTTCCAGTGTCTGGCTGCTGCTTCACCTCATCTCGCGTCTGTACTACTTGCCCCTGAGGGAGACCCGGATGCACTAGACATCCCGACTCCACGTTCTTACGCGGAGGTCGTAGAGGGTCCCTACTCCTCTCAGTGGCAGGCAGCTATGGATGCAGAGATGGCTTCCTGGAAGTCCACAGGCACCTATGTTGACGAGGTTCCCCCTCCTGGGGCGAACATCGTCAGTGGCATGTGGATCTTCAGGGTGAAGCGGCCGCCTGGCTCTCCACCTGTCTTCAAGGCGCGGTACGTCGCTCGTGGCTTCAGTCAGCGGCAGGGAGTTGACTACTTTCATACCTTCTCTCCCACCCCGAAGATGACTACTCTTCGGGTGCTGCTGCACATAGCCGCTCAGCGCGACTACGAGCTTCACTCTCTTGACTTCAGCACTGCTTTCTTGCAGGGCAGCCAGCACGAGGAGATCTGGCTGCGTCGTCCGCGTGGCTTCACTGGGACTTTCCCTCCTAGCACCCAGTGGTGCCTCCGACGGCCAGTCTACGGTCTCCACCGGGCACCGCGTGAGTGGCACGACACACTGAGGACTACGCTTGCGGCTCTTGGGTTTGCTCCCTCTACTGCTGACCCGTCGTTGTTTCTGCGCACCGGCACTTCTCTGCCGCTGGTCTACATCCTCGTGTACGTCGACGACTTGGTCTTTGCCACAGCTGACACTGCTGGACTCGCCTACGTGAAGTCACACATTACTTTGACTCAGTCACACATGGTGCAGCAGGTCCTTCAGCGCTTCGGCTTCACGTACTCCTCGCCTCAGGCCACTCCTCTGTCTACTCGCCACTCGCTCTCAGCTCTGCCTTCAGATGAGTCCGTAGAGTTGAGTGGTCCGTACCCGGAGCTTGTTGGCTGCCTCATGTACATGATGACCTGCACTCGACCTGACCTTGCATACCCTCTTAGTATTCTTGCACGCTATGTTGCTCCTGGGAGACACTGACCAGAGCACATGGCTGCAGCAAAGAGGGTGTTGCGCTACTTGTCCAGTACGTCGGGCATGGGGCTAGTGCTTGGAGGGCGGAGTCCAGTGGTCCTATTGGCCACGCGGACGCTTCTTGGGCTGACGACAAGGCTACGCAGCGGTCGTCGCAGGGGTACACCTTCAGTCTTGGTTCTGGTTCTGTCTCTTGGCGGGCTACTCGCTCGTCTTCTGTTCTCGGCTCCAGTTGTGAGGCTGAGATCTACGCCGGGGCCATGGCTGCACAGGAGCTTCGCTGGCTCACCTACCTGCTGACTGACCTTGGAGAGCCGCCTCGTTCTCCTTTAGTGCTGTACGTAGACAACAAGGCCATGCTGGCCTTGTGTCGAGAGCAGCGCTTGGAGCACAGAACGAAGCACATTGCTCTCCGCTACTTCCTTGCTCGTGAGCTGCAGCAGCGTGGTCAGTTGTGACTTGCGTACGTGGCCTCTGAGGCCAACACTGCTGATGTTTTCACCAAGGCACTTCCGCCTTGTGATCATCAGCGCTTCTGTACTCAGCTGGGACTTGTACCTGTCTTACCTCACTTGCTCACCTCTTGACCTTGCTTGTACTCTTGCATATATATATACCTGCTCTTGCTTGTTTAGCCTTTTATATATATGCCTTCTCTTGCATGTGAACTGGCCTTGTGGCCTTGACCTTGTGCTCGGACTGTATGGTGACTTTGTGATCCACCCTGAGCTTTGCTTTGCTTTGCTTGACTGGTCTTGTAACCCCTTGTTCTCCCCCACTTTGCCTATGGGGGTGTGTCAAAACATATAGCTTATGCTTTTCTGTAGGCTATAGTGGGGTATCCTATAGGGGGTACAACCCAATTAGGGTTGGTACTTGTACTCACTCATTTCATAGTTCATTCATTCGTGTTCTTTACTTTCACAGATCGGTCGACAATAACAATTGCAAAAGTAAATAGTGAGAAACAAGTGTTACGATCAAGAGATGATCGCTGCCAAGATCTTCTCATGAATGTTCGCACGCAGATATGTAGACTAGGTGGGGCCTTGACCTCAATAGCAGAGTGAATGTAAAATGTTTGAGATAAATTAAAACATGCAAATACAGCGATATAAATAAGAATACAGGGAAATGTGAATCGGCCTAGCTAGCCATGTAGTCTAAATGGTACATTCGCTTATTCAAATTGATTCCCGACCGTGCGGCGCGTACAGTTACGAAAACTGTTCCCGCCCAATTCCTCCTTACTACAGCTGCTTGATACCGTCTGCTCCGACGGTCCACATCCACGCTAACCGTCTGACGTTTCTAGTCAATTCCGACTCCTCGCATTCGTTCTCGTTACACCGTGTTTCCTTAGCTGCGGTGAGGAGTGCACTTGTGATATTCAGTCATTACTATTTGTAACACCCCCCTTCATTCGTGGCCGCAGCTCGACTTGACCTGCTTGACCACTCCGCTGAGTTCGGAGCAGTGCTGATACTGCTGGCATGGCAGTCGCTTCGTGAGGAAGTTTGCTGCCATGTCACCAGCCGGGCAGTAGGTCAAGTCAACCTTGCCCTTGTCCACTTCATCCTTCACGAAGAAATTCCGCAGCGCAATGTGTTTGGTGCGATTGATGAAACCAGGTTTGGTTGTCGCAGTGAAGACGAAAGGTGGACGAAGCTGGAATTTTCGCCTCCTGTAGAAGTTCCAGTAAGTAGAGGCCTTCGCGAACTACTGCGGTCGTTGCGATGAATTCCGTTTTGGCTGAGGACAGGGCAACCAACTCCTGCTTCTGCGAATTCCAGGAGATTGGTCCCGTTGGTTCGAGTCGGAACAGGAAGCCAGTCCTGGACCGTCGATTGTCGGGATCTGCTGCGTGATCGGCGTCCACGTAGGCGATAAGATTGAAGGATGGAGTTGGTGCAATTGAGTAGAACAACCCAATCTTGGGCGTTGAAACGAAGAACTGTAGGGCGCGCTGCAAGTCCAGAAGATTCTCAGCCGTTGGTTTGCGTGAGTACTTGGCCAGCTCACTTGCGATATAGGAGAGGTCTGGCCTGCAGGTGACAGAGGCGAAGAGCAGGCATCCCACCTGCTGCTGGTAGGTCTGAATTCCAGCGAGGGATAAGGCTTTGCTGTCAGGTTTGTGGTTCGGTCCGGGAGTTCGGTAGGGAGTAGAGAGTGGTGCAGGTGAAATGTTGAACCGCTTCCCTAACTCCTCTGCGTACTTAGCCGCTGGGAGGTGAATGGCCTCAGGCGCGTAAGAGATGTTGAGGCCTAAGAACTGCTTCACCTCATAGTTGCATGTTATGTCGACGCGCCCCGCAAGAGCCTTCTCCAATTGCTCGAGCAGTTCGTTGCTTGACCCTGTGTAAAGTAGGTCGTCGACGCAGACCGTGAGCAAAATGTATCAGCCGCGGAAATCGCGGGGATACATCCCAGGATCGTGCAGCATCTGCTTGAACCCGATTTCAAGCAAAATGCAGTGCAGATACTGCTGCCACAGCCTCGGTGCCTGCTTGATCCCGTAAAGGGACTTGCGTAGTTGACACACGCGCAAGTCCCCCTCGCCGTATGCATGCACTTGCTCCACGTAGATTACGGCGTCTACTAATGTGTACAGGAACGCATTCTTCGCGTTGATCTGGCGGAGAGGCAGGTGCCTTGTGGCTGCGATGGCGAGCAGGATTCGGACGGAGGTGTGGCGACTGGCTAGAGCTAGCATCTGGTCGAAGTCGATCCCATGCCTATGGTCATAGCCACGCACCACCCAGCACGCTTTAAAGTGCTCGATTGTTCTGTCCGCTGCGGTCTTCACGCGGAAGACGCACTTCCCCGAGAGAACTCTTGCGCCCTTGATTGTTGCGCGGTCAACTAGCACCCAAGTATCTCTGGATTCGAGGGCCTTGATCTCAGCTCCATCGCCTCGCGCCACTCCCTGCTGTGTGGTCCAGTGAGGGCTTGGCACGGGTTTTGTTGCTCGACGACACATGGCGCCTTAGAGGTTGCGGCGTGAAGCCCGAGCTGCTGTAATCCTGAGACAATGCTGTTGTGGCGAGGTTGCGGGACGACTTCCTGCACATCGTCGTCATCGCTTTCTGGTTCAGGTGGCGCTGGTGGTGCGGCGCCACTGCCGCTTCCGCCTGTTCTGCTCATTCCTCCTCCAGAGGGATCGTCGTCGCTGTCGTCCTTATTGCGATCTCCCCATGTGAACTCGCCCCTGGTGTCCTGCTCCAGGATTGCTGCCACAGCTTCGTCCTCGGGCGTTGCGTAGCTGTGCCCATCATTTGCGTAAACGCGGTTTGCATTCGTCTGCTCGTCGTGGCGGAATTGGTCAAGGAAGAGGCGCTCGTAGAAGATTACGTCGCGAGCGTGGGTGGTCTTCTGACTGAGCAGGTCCAGCATGATCCACGCCTTGTGCTCGTTGCTGATGCCGAGGTGAATCTCCCAACGCGCGCGGCTAGAGAATTTGCTGATGGTTGACGTTAGCGGGTGGTATTGGACCATGCACCCTCACACGCGGAGCATGGACGTGTCCCCCTTAGTCTCGGTCCATTTCACATGCGGGGACAAGTTGCCGGTGATGGCGGTGGTTGACAGTAGGTTGT